ATCCTATTATTTTGTCTATTTACAGTTGAAAACACAGAGTTTCTATAAATTAGTTACAACTGCCCCGAAGCACATTTATCAGATTGAAAGGATTTATCACACAGTGATTTAAACTGCCTAAAATATGAATTGTGAAACAAACAAAAAAATCACAATAAGTTGAGGTTCACGGGTGCAGTAAAATTGGTACCTTTAATATCATTATGAAAATAGAAATAACTTCAAATTATTAATACCTATAAAACAGCAATGCAAATAAAAAAGAAAAACAGTTTTAAAATAAAAAAAAATACCTAAAACTTTAGCTTTCCAAAACTCTGATTACTGGACAAGCATTTGGGAAGAATAGTTACTTCTAATATTCTGATAAAATAAAAAAAAAAAACAAAAAAAAAACAGGAATTTAATTAAGTTTTGAATATTTTTAAAACTTTTAAAGTCATTTTATTTGAACATTCCCCTGACATAATGGAATATTATTTGAATCTAAAAACATATTGGCTGTGAAATAAAACTAATTGCAACTCAAATGTCTTTATTGATATAAACTGTAAAAAAAAAAAAAGATAATTCCTCACTAAAATACTACATGATTTACATTCATACTCACAATCAGGAAACACATACAATTCCTTCCATGTCTTTATACAGTTGTGTCACATAATGTCTATAACGCATTTTTTTTAAAAATATTTCCCAAATTATAAAAAAGTCCTCACATCACTAAAACTAATCCATAAATGAAATTCCGAAAAAGGAAGTCATGCATCAATTATAAACATTGCACTGACAATGAAACTAATTCTTGAAAACAACCAATCAAGATATCATTTGAGCCTAGAGCACTTTACAATATTCTAAGTTTGTAGGAGAATGATAATCCCTTAATTACTTCATGACAAATACTCGCTAACGCTCTTACTTAATCATGACAAAAAGGATTATTATTCTCTTACATATACATAATCCCTATCTTCATGATAAGGTACGATCGTTAGCGAGCACTTATCATGAAGAAAAGGATTATCATTCTCTTATACAACTTAGAATATTGTAAAGAGCTCAATTGAAATTGAAAAAAAAAATACAGAACCTATAGGTTGCATTTCTGTAAATATCGACAATGCAATTTCCCATAAGAACTCCTTTTACGGCTAAAACTGTACCACTTTTACTATGAAGTTTTGAAAAAAAATTATAGCCTAGAATGACTTTAGGTTTTACACAGATTTCAATTTGACCGCTATGCATATGTATATTTACTAGTAACATTCCCATGTTATGTATCTACGAGAAGAAATATAGAGATGATATCTGGGAACCAGTACGTAAACAAAACTAATTATATATGAATATTATATATCTCCAAAAAAGAGGCGTGGTTTGTGAAATAGCTGTATTTACAAAGTGCAACCTTTACTCTTATTCTTATACATAACAAAAAGAATTACTGCCTAACAGCTCGGAAAAATGTACAAAATCAAAATCCGTTAAAATTCCGCGAAAGTCCATTCACGCTTTTGGCGCATTAAAAGAGGGACGAAAGATACCAGAGGGACAATCAAACCCATAGATCGAAAACAAACTGACAACGCCATGGCCAAAAATAAAAAGACAAACAGACAAATAATAGTACAGATGACACAAAATAGAAAACTAAAGACTAAGCAACACGAACCCCACCAAAAACTGGGAGTGATCTCAGGTGCTCCGGAAGGGTAAGCAGATCCTGCTCCACATGTGGCACCCGTCGTGTTGCTTATGTTATTACAAATCCGGTAAATAGTCTAAAGTCATTTCAAAACATGACGTCATCCAAATGAAAACGCTAAAGCTGAAGTTTTTTTCGATACGCGAACCATCGAAATTAGGATTATATTACATTAAAATGGAGTTTTGAGGTAGGTGTTGTTTTATTTTCTATTCTACTGCATCATTCGAACATCTACTGATTTCAGCAAGTCAGCATGGCAGCTCCTTAGCTACGAAATGTCCTCTGTGTATTTGACGGTAGCTTACGAGAAAAAAATGTTATTCAAAAATAGCAAACGTTGGGGTTTAATTAGAATTGAAAGAATTAAACACATTTTTTCTAGCTGTTATTTAAGAAATAATTCATGCACTTATACATTTATTGGAATATATTTTTAGCTTTATCTAACAGGGGGTAAAAAAAGAACTGCCACACACACGGCATACCCACCCTCGATTCAGTTTTTATATTACCGTATTTGTCCTATTAGAAATCGAAATAATTCATGGAAGCAATAGATTTATTGGAAATTTACACATGGCCTGGACCGTAATATTTGAATTTTATCCTGAGCGTTAAAATTATTTCTGAATTAATCCATGACTTCCTTTTCAGGCATTTCATTTATGGATTAGTTTTATTGATTAAAGGACTTTCTTATAACTTTGAAAAATAAAATGAATTGTGTTTTAGACATATAGACATAAGATGACACAACAGTACAATGGAATGGTAAGAAATGTTTCCAGATTGTGAGTATGAATGTAAATCATGTCATATTTTAGCAAGGAATTATCTCTTTGTTTATTTCTAGTAATCTGAGTTTTTGAAAGAGTATTAACTAACGATTTAGGTTTTATCTAATTTAAAAAAAAATCTTTTTTGCATTGCGTTGTTATTGATGTTTTTTTTTTAGTAATTTGAAGTCATAAATACTCTCATAATAACGTTGACGGTACCAATGATACTGCACCAGTAAACTTCATCTTATTTAGATTTGTTTGTTTGTTTCAAAATTCAACTTTTAGGCATATTTTATCACTAGATTTCTTTCAAGCTGATAATGTGCTTCAGAGTATTTGTAGCTCATTTATAAATACTCATTGTTTTGAGCTGTAAATAGGCCTAAACAATAGGACAATCCCTTACTAAGAACATGATTTTATTTATTCTTCACAATTAAGAAACATCAAATCCTACAATTTCATTGGTCGAGAGCACTTAGCTGTATTCTACAAAACCTGGGACGATATCATTTCTTACACCAGAACGACTGGATACACTCACTGTTGATTCAACATATTAAAACATTGTATCCGCGGTAAAGGGTGTATACTATATAGTAATGTTATAAGTATATTATAATTATTGTAATGCATTCTGAACTAGATGTCCTGGAGCGTAAACGTTTTTTCCGTATAGTCTAGAAGAGCTGACACAACCCTCCGACCATTTGGGTTGATCTTAGTACACTGACACACCGCGTCCTCATGGAATAACTATCATATAAAGGATATCTTTTGTTTACGTATTGTATCTTGAACTTATTAACCAGGTGTAGGTCTTTAGGAGCGTTTATTTACTAAAAGTTAATCGGGCATGACTAATTAGACACGACCTCTTAAAATTAAGGGTCCCAAAAAACAAAATTGGTAAAAAAAAGCAAGCGAAATACCATAATTTATAATTTAAGAGAATGATAGTTGGTTGATTATCTCCTGTCAATAATCATACGGCATTTGAGCGGAAATAGAAACCTTTTCGAAACTGGGAAATGTTGGCTGCAATATGAATTCATTTACAAATAAGTCCATATTTCATTTACTTATAATGACCGTTATTGATTGTAAATTCTTGTGTCATTTTGTTTTTGGCATTCGTTTACCATAGAAAGGGGGTGGGGGTTAATATCTTAACTAACGATTTTGATCATGGTTTTAATTTTATTCTAGTATGGCATACGTTTTACTTCTAGCCAACGCTCTATCTTATTGACGTGGACTGAAAAAACATTTGCATCAGTTCGATCTTCTTTGCACCTCGTCGTGAATATACATAACATATTTGCCACTGGTCGTTAATAATGCAATAAATTAATCAGCTTCATTTAGTTGTGTATAATCAGTAGCCTTCAGTTGATAATTGTCTCAAACAGTTTCCCAATTTTTATATATTTTATTTTCTTTAGAAAGGGTTTCAGTAAAAATGACATTTTTGAATATGTTTTTAACGGATAGGTTTAAAAACATCTATAATAAGGGATCTTATAACATATGAAAAATACGTAAAATATGTTTTAGTTAATCGATTTGGTTTTATTTAATTACAATTTTATTCATTGAGGTTTACAGGCATAGGTTAAAAAAAACAAAAACAAAAACAAAACAAGATTATCAATAATTAGATTGAACAGACAACACTTATTATTTTTCATCTGCATTGTTACGTAGTGTAGGAAAATTACCGAATCAAAACTAAAAAGAACATCTACCTGAATATTGCGAAAGACCTTATGCATCTTGGTCTGTTCGATTAGAAATTTTAAAACAAGCTGTTAAAATAACTAATTGGTGGAAGAGATTACTTAATGTTTTAATATGGTAATATTGAATCGAAAACATCAAATATATATAACAAGTAGTTTTTTGCAGACCATAAAATGACCAGTTGTAAAATAGGTCTGTGTGGTTTCGATATACTCATGTATAAAACAAAAAATCGTTGTTTAGAAAAGCTTTAATTCAAAAATACAAATGTACCCCTTAATTTTATTAAGCTATCCTATTGTGTTATTTTATTGCAAAAAACTTACAATTAAATACTTTTGTACTGCTTTAAAATCGGTCCGTTTTCAACGCAATTAGTGACATGTAACTGTTAATTGTAAATATGTCTGAGTACGGTTTAACTATCAATTACTTTGAATATATTAAGACTCGTTCAATTCAGGGGAATTAGGCTTCTGCAAGTGGTTTTTGCGTACTTATCGTAAGTTTTTGACGGTTTGTAAGTCAGTACACGGTCAAAGATTTAGTTAATATCTCAACATCCTTTTTTGTTTGAAGGTCTTTTAATATCAATATTAATTAATTATGGAACTTTTACTATCACTTACTAACTAATCTTTGATTGATAAGTTCATTTTTTGTCATTTAACTTCGCAAGAACGAGAGTGTATCAGAAATAAGTCGAATATCATTTTTGACCAATTTTGTTGAATAACAAACTAAGCATACCAACAACATACCTGGTACATAAGTTTCAAACCGTGGCATGATAGTCGATGGAACTTCGATGTCTTTAGGCAATCTAATAAAAAAACATCGATAATGAATACCTATCGCTAGATAATTGCATTGAATTTGATAAACATGATAAACTTGTTTTTATAAATTGTTTTTTTAAAATGACCATAAACCCACTTATTCATGGTGTGGCATCAATATTTCTGACCGGTCACTACATAAAGGCAACAGTAGTACACCGCTGTTCGAAACTCATAAATAATAACGGTCATTACATACTTTTAATAATAATTGCTTAATTCTTCAGAATTTATTATGCAATGTTTCGGGTTCTTTCGGGAATATTCTAGGTAAACCCTCATCAGAGGCCGACCTTTATATGTTTAATGCATATCTAACATAGTAGATAGATGTGTGTCTGTTTCATAACAGTTTTTTTTTCTCGAATTTACTACACGTGCATATAGGTCTACGTTGTAGCTAGTCTTTTGACAGACTAAAGAAACTGACCAAGTAAATCAGCATCTTTGTTTAATTATTCATATATATAATAAAAAGACTTATTGTTTTTATTTCCGTAAACTAATCTATCATAAATCTACACGGGATTCAATAGAGGTAGTAGTTATCAGTGCTATATTGTTGAATTCAGAGTAAACTGTCGTGTTTGTTTAGCACCTTTTTGATAATATACATAAATCTCCATGTTTAACAATTGAAGAGGTTTGCGTAGGTACCATGCCGATTCTATGCATGAATATACAAGAAACCCTTCTTTTATCCCTAGTACGTGATCTATAAAATAAATCGGCATCACGTCTTTTTACATCTGTTTCACATTATAATGATAGTATACTAAAGCCTCCCGTGGTGGGGTATTGTGAATCGATGTCTATGACTTAATGATTAATTATCATGTCGCTTATATTCTTATAGTTTTTGAAACCAATATCTGGTTGAGATTATATTTGGGGGGGAGGGGGGTAGGGCAATCGATCTTTCCGAATTATATACCAAACCTGTGTAATTACCTTTTTAAGATATTCAACATATTTCTGCCAATTGATTTCTTGTTTCTTTTGAAGTAACAGCTGTCTGCATACGTGAAGAATTTTGTGCTTTATTTGAATTACTTTTTCTTTAGTGTTTAACCGTCTAGATAATTTATCTATAGACAGTGTATATACGTTTTAGTTAGTGAGGGTGGTTGTTATTGACCATGACTACCCATAAAGGTCTTGCACGGTTGATATGTTTTTTTAAATATGTACATGATGCTATTGTTTCAAAAAATCTCGTACCTTCTAAAGGAATTAAAACAATGTACTATTTTAAATAGTTGTTTAATTTGTTAACCATTTTCATTAAATAAATCAAATCCATCATTTCTCATTCTTTTGTGGAATTTAATATTATTTTTGTAAGATATTGCTCTTTATTATTATTTATATGGTAAAATATAGCAATATCAGATATTTCAAGGGAGGTAACTCTGCCCATTGAAATGCCAACAATCTGTTGCTAGTATAATAGTAAAACTTCCATAGTTCATTGACAATCATATTAATTTGTGATTAGTTTGCATGTTACCTTCTTAGTTTCGACATGATAAAGAGATGAATTATGGATTGTTGGTTGTTTAACGTCCAGTGGCAAATATTTAATGTATGTTTAGGACGATAATATAGTGATGACATACGATTGTTTGCTAGTATAACTTCCATAGTTCATTGACACTCTATATTAATTTGGTAATTAGTTTGCATGTTACCTTTTAAGGTTTGACATGATCGCGATCAATTATTGATTATTGGTTACTCAATGTCCAGTGGCAAATATTTCATGTATGTTTAGGGCGATCATATAGTGATGACATATGGTTGTTTGCTAGTATAATAGTATAACTTCAATAGTTCATTGATAATCCTATTAATTTGTAATTAGTTTCTATGAAACCTTTTAAGGTTTGACATGATATAGCGATGAATTATTGATTCTTGGTTGCTTAACGTCCAGTGGCAAATATTTCATGTATGTTTAGGATGATGATATAGTGATGACATAAGGTTGTTTGATGGTATAATAGTATAACGTCCATAGTTCATTGACAATCATATTAATTTGCAATTAGTTTCTATGTGACCTTCTAAGGTTTGACATGATATAGTCTGTAAAAAGACTAGCTACAACGTAGACCTATATGCACGTGTAGCAAATAAGAGAAAAAACAACTGTTATGAAACAGACACACATCTATCTACTATGTTAGATACGGATTAAACATATAAAGGTCGGCCTCTGATGAGGGTTTACCTGGAAATATTCCCGAAAGAACCCGATCATTGCATGTTAAATTCTAAAGAATTAAGCAATTATTATTAAAAGTACGTAGTGTCAGGTCAGAAATATTGATGCCATACCACGAATAAGTGGGTTTGTAGATATAGGAAGATTTGGTAGGAGTGCCAATGAGACAACTCTCCATCCAAGTTACAATTTATAAAAGTAAATCATTATAGGTCAAGGTACGGCCTTCAACACGGAGCATTGGCTCACACCGAACAGCAAGCTATAAAGTGCCCCCAAAAAATTACTAGTGTAAAACCATTCAAACGGAAAAACCAACGGTCTAATCGATATAAAAACGCGAAACGAGAAACACGTATGAACTACATACACAGTATGGTAATTTTATAAAAAACAATAAACATTTGTGTAATAAAGAGGCAGTTTTCTAGGTATCGCGAATTATAGAGAAACAAGAATTATCTTCTCTTAAAACACTGTTTCGAAATAAATCATATTTTCTGATCGTTGCACACGATACTCTTATCTTGAATTTATTAGGTTTAATTAACGCCCTGCTCTTCCAAAAAAGACCCAAAAAATACAAACTTTCAGGAAAATTTTTTGGCAATTTACTGCTAACCGCACAAATAGATTTACTTTTGACCACAGCAAGTTCCTTCTAGAAATAAACTCAACATTGATACCAGGATTAAAAGTTTGTACGCGAGACGAACGTTTCGTCTTCAAAAGACTAATCAGTAAAGCTCGAATAAACAAAGTCAAAAAGACCAAATAAAGTACGAGGTTCAAAAGGCTCAAAGGGGTTGCATTTTTGGCAATTAAATTATTTCGATTTCAGAATTGATTTAAGCTTAAACAAGGCGTATGTTCATCAATGAAGAGCATCTGTGTGCTCCCGTCTTTACATCCGTTATAATTTCACATATAGTATGTCCAAAGTAGAAAGAAAATTATTGTTTAACTAGCAGTTTAGAAGTGAAAATTACTTAGCAAACTGTGGATGAAGATTTTGCAATAAATGGAATGTTCACAGATTTTTCTTTTGCTATTAAATGTGGGCCAATAAAAAAGTTGCAGAAAGAATATGGACAGTCAAAATCATTAAATAAACCCAAAGAGAAACCACTTCAACATGCAAAATATTTTAACATAATACGCAAACACATACAACATGTAAAAAAGGTCAAAACACACAAATTAAAAACCGCGGTTGATGATCATGAATAACGTACATTATTGTTCACCCGTATCAACGTAAATGTACAATGTGTTGTTAATTGAATTTTACCATATAATAATGTATCTCGGGGTTTTACTATATATACTCAAAAGTGATTGCAAGGTCTTACATCCATGACAAAGAGTGGCGATCTTAAAAGTGATTTTCCAAAAAGCATTTATTACAAAAACGAACATTGACCAAGGAACATCTACGTGAAGGAAAATACGGTGACACAGGAGAGATACAAATGTAAAATCTATTAGATGGATCAATCGGGATAAGAAGCAACAATTTAGAAATACAAAGGAATATAAGGAGTATATTGTAATTGGATAAACTACTGAATATTTCAATATATATTGAAATTGGTCTTTAATATACAGAGACTTGGGCCATCTCTTTGCATGAACATTTAATTTAACATCCATAATACAACTCATCGTGTCATCAACCGTTAAAACCGGCTTGAACTTGCAGTGATGTTTGGTTTGTTGCTCATATTTAAGCAAATCGGATCTTTGAGATGATGAACAGAAGTAAACGTTTTGTTCCTTTTTCATTTTTGTATCTTCGTTTAGTTTCATTGTGTGATCCACCATATCTTACATTTTTCGTTATCCAGAAAACTTAACATTAAATAATGAAAATTGAAAATGAAGTCAAGGCTACCTGCACTATTTCTGACGACCATGGAACGCTTAAATCCTTTAACAAATGTGTTAAAGTGAACACATAACTAAAAGTACGAGAGAAACAGGCTGAACTAATAACGACAACTTAACTATGACCATGAACTCGCTCCGACAGACATACATGCCTTTCAAGGGTCAATCTAACTAATTATTATATTCGTTGCATTAGCTTTATACCTAAACAATTCACATACAAAGTAATATAAATGACATGTTTATAAATGCGCCAAATCTTAAAAATGTAGTTAAGGACAAAGGACAGAAGTTAGTGCAAGTGAAAATAGTATATCCAAAACTTAACATCACTCTCTGTAGAAGAGAATACGTAATTTTTTTCAGCTTCTAAAGAAGGATCTTTATAAATGCTTTTGAATTAGTAAAAAGTAAAATAGTAAAAATGCCGAACTCCAAGGAATATTCAAAACGGAAAAGTCCTTATCAAATGACAAAATAAAAAGCTAAAACACATCAAACGAATGTAGAACAGCTGTCATATTCCTGACTTTGTACAGGTATTTCGCAGCAGACTTAACGGTTAAGTACAATTAAAACAACAATTATAATCGTGATGTATAGGTAACATAAAACACTTACACGGCATTTACAATAATTTCGCACTTGTAACTTTTCCAGGTATTCTTATCAAGGCACTCATAATCTGGAATAAACAAAACCATGAAAAATGGATTCAATATATTTTTGGAGTAATATATTGCAATATATGATATAAATTTATTATCTTATTAAAACATTTTTTTGGAATGTGTCAATCCAAAATTAAGAATCTTCAAAGCTTACCATTGAAAAGATTAATTCAATTATAATATGATTTTAATTACTTTTAAGGAAGTAAAAAGAACAATTTCATTTGAAAAATATTCGGTACTGTATGCTCTTTGTTTAATAGAATATGTTAATAACTACAAAGTTATCGTGCCAAGTAGTGTCACATGGGAGACTTTTAAATCTTCCACTTTTAGACTGAACAGTATGACATTTGATGTTGGGTTGATTGCCTATCTTGTCAATGATCCACCAGAGAACAAATGACAAATGACCATAGAATGCCGTATGAAATTAAATAAGGAGAAAACCCATACCACATAGTAAGCGTTTAAAAGCATCGACATAACAAAAAGTAAAATAATGCAAATGAAAAAGAAAGATCAATCTATGTACACAAGAAAAAAAACCCCCGAAAAACGAATATGCAATACAGTAACAAATGAGGACCTATGAATAACAGGCTCCCGAGTTAAGACATACATAATGTAGCGGGTATTAACATGTTCATATTAGCTTTTGCAATGCAAAGTATCGAAAAGGATGTAGATTCATCAGCGTTAATAGCAATGCGTATTCAGTTTTGTTTAAATTTATTGATTAGATAATCTATGTAATAAAATTGAGAATGGAAATGGGGAATATGCCAAAAAGACAACCCGACAAAAGAGCAGAAAACAGCCGAAGGCCACCAATGGGTCTTCAACGCAGCGAGAAAATCTCCCACAAGGAGGCGGGCCTCAGCTGGCCCCTAAATAAAAATGTGTACTAGTTCAGTGAAAATGGACGTCATACTAAACTCCAAAACATATAAATGAACTAAAATTAAAAACACATACAAGACTTACAACGGCCAGAGGCTCCTGACTTGGTAAAAAAGTAAAATAACAAAAATACCGAACTCCGAGGATAATTCAAAACGGAAAGTCCGTAATCAAATGGCAAAATCAAAAGCTCAATAGATATAAGAAGATGTGGTATGAGTGCCAATGAGACAACTCTCCATCCAAGTAAAAATTTATAAAAGTAAACCATTATAGGTCACAGTACGGTCTTCAACACGGATCCTTGGCTCACACCGAACAGTAAGCTATAAAGGGCCCCAAAAAATTACTAGTGTAAAACCATTCAAACGGGAAAACCAACGGTCTAATCTATATAAAAAACGAGAAACACTTATGAACCACATCAACAAACGACAACTACTGAACATCAGATTCCTGACTTAGGACAGGTGCAAACAAATGCAGCGGGTTTAAACGTTTTAATGGTACCAAACCTTCACCCTTCTTCTGAAACAATAGTGTAACATCACAACATAGAAAGACACCCTATAAAATATCAACTGAAATAGCTTAACTCAATCAAAGGACATATTAACACCATTGAACATACACTGAACAAATAAATTTGACCTATGACACAATGTAAATACAAAATAAATACACACTAAACGAATGGATACCAACTGTCATATTCCTCACTTGGTACGGGCATTTTCTTATGTAGAAAATGGTGGATAAAACCTGGTTTTATAGCTAGCTAAACCTCTCACTAATATGACAGTCATATTAAATTCCATTATATTGACAACGATGTGTGAACAAAACAAATGTTTAATTGATAAACTTTCATGATAAGTTTATTCAAACGATGAATCGTATAAGAATTTACGGACCCTAAAACTCCATCACCGTAAACATGGTAAACATTACGATATTTACCTATTTACCTCTTTACCTTGATTTAAATTAACATATACTTACTGTTTATGTCTCTTTTTCTCCAGACGGGTGGTGCATGTATAGCAGGACAAACTTAACTGTAGAGGCGCACGGTATCGTTCAGTTTAGAGTTAATACGATATCTATGTGTTTAGGTTTAAATTGGGATTTTTCGAACTCGTAATAGATTTGCGAGATTTTGACATTAGTAAACTGATGTTGTCGGTAATATTTTTATCCCCCATAGGCATGTTATTAATTTGCATCACTTTTGATATATAAAGTATTGACTCCATTGGATAATGTAGTGCATGTTATATACAGTACAAAAACAACAAAATGTATTATTTATGTCTTTAATTAATTGACTTAAATTTAAACAAAATATGTCGTTAATACGTTTGATGCAATCTTCATAGGACGTTATATTTATAAAACCGTCATAATAGATGTTATTGACAACTTAAGTAAAGTTGTCTTGAAATATAACTTTACAATAAACACAATTACTATGCATGCAGTGGGAGTATATGGAATAGAAGGACGATTCTCATAATTTCGAATCTTAATTCTCACCAAAAGTTTGGGATCAAAATCATTTGACCTTAGATACTTTAGTTGGGACGATTGTGAAAAAATCGCAATGTCTTGTTGACCAGTCTTTAGTTGTTTATATTGTGTTTTGTATACTATGGATTTTCGTTTTTGTCATGGTGCTGTCAACTTCTCATTGACTTGTGAGTTTGAATATCCCTTAGGTATCGTCTGCCTCTCTTTATCAAATAAACGACATTACAGGTAATGCATTCTTTTACTTTTATTGTTCGAAAAAGTTAAAGTAGAATACGCATAGAATGGGTTTAGCAACTGTGGACAATTCCAATTTGGCGAATATTGTGTAACAATATATTCATGATTGTGTGCTTCACATGAAGAATATTTCCATATTCAAGATTGCAAGGTTTTGTTTGAACACTCAGACACATATTTAGCAGCAGACAAACTATGAATTGACCTTCTCCCTATAGTCATGATTAATATACATTTCCTCTCTTCGTAACTTTTTTTAAAGTAAGCAAAGTGTAACGTTTTTCTGTAACTTAATTTGAAAATTCTAATTTTTTCCAATCAAACTTTTTATTCAAATGATACAATAAAAAATAAATACATACAAATACACCTAGAATTAGTCATATCACATACCTGGTGATAAAATGTCTTTAGAGGAACATAACTTAAGGTAACAGGAACAATCTTCATCTGTTGGTACACAATGACATTGCTGTTTTGGCTTAACTGTAAAATCATAACCTCTCGTATAATCGCAGCGACATAACCTATCCTCTTTTATGGTACCATTACTAAAAATCGTTTGACCTTCTCCGCTGCAGAACGATTTTTTAAAAGCACAGCGACTGTTCCCAGAAGACCAGAATTTATTTGGTTGATAAAAATCATTGTCACAATCAGCTCCTTGTATTGACCCGGCAATTGTTAGTTTTTGTCCTACATTTTGAAAAAAAAAAAGATTTTGTATTAACAACACTTTGCATATATAATCAACTTATAAGGGAACAACATGAGAATACTTAGTTTAATCTATATAAAACCAATATACTTAGTATTCCAGTGAATGCTCTTCGAATTCAATTCTAAAATAATACATTAGATCTGTTTTGACAAATAGGGGCTTCACTAGAAGTTTTGAAACATAATAGTATAGTGCCCTCACGAGTTAGTTTGCTTTCAATTTTACAAATGTTTTGATCATTTTCCTATATGTTTAAGTTAAGCTGTTTTGAAAGTTGACATTGACATATTGGAAACAAACCAAAAAATAAAGTTAAGATGAGCTTTCGTATATTAACATAACAAAACAAAAACTGAACGACATTTTATTAAAAAAAACTTCGCTATTATCATTTCTAGTAAGTGAAAACTACATGTAATTTTATAAAATGCACTAAACATGTTGACAGATATAATGTAAAGGTAAAATCACAAAAAAATCTGAATTCAAAACGGAAAGTCCCTAATCAAATGGCAAAAGCAAAAGCTCAAAAACATCAAACGAATGGATAACAACTGTCATATTCCTGACTTGGTACAGGCATTTTCTTATGTAGAAAATGGTGGATTGAACCTGGTTTTATAGGTGTTAAACCTAGTAAAACATTGAGAGATTTTGAAATATATTTGTTTACATTTTTTTACTGTTTTCACAAAGATCCTAAGTCTAAATGAATTGATATAATATCTCCTGCACTTATCTATATACAAATAACTTTGATATATGTATGTTTTGAAGGAAATATCAGACCTTCACCATCGATCGATCAGAAACATCCTGGCAAAGGTAATATAGTCTGTTTTAGCAGTTATTATGAACAGTCCTATGTTGAATTTTTCACTTTGGAATTGCATTTAAATTTAAAATTTTTACTCCTTTCTTTGTAAATATTATCTTTTTGTTATTGTGATACCTTCCAGTTTTGTTACATTATCTGCACCGTAAATCAAAATTTAATGACAACGTTCCAAATATCAGGTACACATAACTCCATGTGATCAATTATGTAAGGATAGATGAATGTGACATAGTGATGTTTACAGTTTAGGAGAATAAAAATGAGTGTATTACCAGGCGCTTCAAATTCTGGATTTTCTCTACAAAATTCGGTAAAACTGTTTTTATTTTGATCATACAAGCAAAAGTAATTGACCCAGGAATCACACAAGGCTTCTGATCTTTGTTTCCAGTGTGCCTTCACAGGACATTGAAAGCTATAAACAGCTTTAGATATCTTGCATAATAACATAATCTGAAAAAAAGAAATATGCGTTAGTTATGTCATTTAACAGATGCTGTTTGCATTATGATGTATGTACTATGTCTACATTTAACAATGTTTAACAGTAATTAAAAAAAAAACAAGAGTGCACACGCTGAAATGTCTCGCCTGCTTTAACGACCAATGCTTTTATGTTGATAGTCCTAAATATAAAGCTTTACTACAACTATCACATACAGTTAACATGATAAAAAAATAAGGTCAAGGTCAGATAAACCAAACGTGAAATACATGTATACCTCACAATCATTCGATACACCAAATATAGTTGACCTATTGCTTATAGTTTCTTAGAAA